CCAGCGTGCTCCCTAGAAACCAGGATGGTGGCACTTCATATCATGCGCTTTGGACATGCTTGATCCGGTGCTTGCTGACCTTGACATCCACCAGGAACACACGTGTGCTGTGGTCTTCGGTCTTCTTCATGTTGGTCTCAGTGGTCGGGGGGCGGGAGTGGGGGGTGGGTGGCTCAACGATAGCATGGTGGTCAGGCTTGTTTCTCCTGGGGGTGTCCTTCCAAAGATTCTGGGGTGGCCTTCTTAATCTCCATGTCTTAGGTCACCAAGAGGTGGGTGCTGTGTGAATCTTCTTTTTTGTGTGGCTGGGGATGCCTTTCAGCACAGCCTTCTTGGCCTTTCACACCTGTGGCAGTTACATAATCTATTATCAACTTGAGGAAGAGGTGGAGTCTAGCCTGTCAATCAGGTCGATGAAGCGTCTATGTGGGGCTGGCCTTCTCCCGAGGATTCTGGGAACTCCTGTTTACTTCCCTGAAGGCGGGACACATTCTCTGGAGACATGCCTGCTGACACGCCAGATGGAGCTACTCTGATGGTGGAAGAGCCATGTGGAGACCCACGCAAGTGCTGAGATGCCTCCAACGACACTGGATCCACAAGACTTTCCACCCACTGGCCTGTGATCTTCCTGCATTTGGTGTCATTGTATGTGTTGCATAAATCTGAAGAGAAATTTATAGACTGGTATTGGACAGATAGACTAATATCAGACTTATGGACTTGATCTGGACTAGGCTGGGATTTTTTTCTCAATATACAATTGTACTTTGATTTTTTTAAAGATATCTCTTCTACACATGAGTGTCTGTGTATTTGTTTCTCTTGTAAACCAGGGCTAACACAGACACCTTTCCTTTGGTTTCAGTTTGGGGAGAGGCAGGGGCTTCCCTCTTCACCTTCAGCGCCCTCTTCGTAAAAAGGCTGGACGTCTTTCCATAGTCAACGCACTGCAAGGATGCTTCCTTCGGACAGTCTCATCTTTTGAAGATGGATCTTCCGTCGAGACCCCTGTGGGACATCCTTCTACATCCTCTTCTGAATCTGTCTCGAATTCCTGGCTGTCCCACATCATACACGGCTCCAGCTGTTTCCGAACTACCTTTGCGCAAATGTGTCCCTGGGTGGGATATGAGTGACGTGTATTATTTTTCAGATGCGTAAAACTGTTCGATCACGTCTGCCTTCTTTTGGGGCCACCTGCCTGTGGGATGGACAAAAATACGGACCTCGTCCAAGTGGCTCTCTACCAGGGTGGCCTTCCACATTCCTCGGCGTAGATGAGCGAGCCCTGCCAGCGCCGTGTGTCTCTATGGAAACACTTCCATTAACGGCCCACCGAGTCTGGAGTCTCGTTTGCCAACGGTGCCTCCCTTCCCACACAGCTTGGGTTTGTCCCCCTTCGCTCGAGCTGGGACGACGCCTGCCTGCTCGATGCTGCTGCTTTGTGCGCACGGTAAGAGCCCGTGGAGGCTGGGGGCGGAGGGAGGACACTGACCGAAGGAAAGAGAACAAGGTTGAAGGACCACCGTCTGCCCGGAGCTACCCTTTCCCCTTCCTCTCCTAGGTTCTAAGTCCTTAGGTAAAGGCATCACCCAAGGGTAAAGCCATTGCTCTGTACACGAAGCCCCCCTCCCCCACTCCCTTGTCACCTTTCAGACAGAAAGGACCATCCCTCCTGTAGGGCCTTGCACACCTGCTGTTGCCTGTGCCGGCAGCTGCCCCCCCCACCCCCCCCATGCCCACATGGTTCCTTCCATTTTCACTCAGGCCTCATGCCACCTCCCCAGAGACTGCCCCCAGCCCACCACCCACCCTCCCTGCCAGGCTCTGTTGAGTAGTGCCGCTTTGCTTCCGTGCCAACCCTGGTCAACACCCCTTGCCCTGCTGTGTCACCACAAGCCGTCTAGTCTACTAGCACTTTTTACAATG